GTTTACCATCGTGGAATGAAGACCAAACGAAGCTAATTATAACCCCAAAGCTCGTGAATAGGAATCGAACTCCAAAGGTATCGCTGTCGATGAAATTCTCGAACCCCGTATCCCCGCCAGTTTGAGAGTAATACAGCACGACGCCGAGGACTCCGGCGATGGGGAATAGGAGAACCATGCGGCCCGTCAAAGTCAGGCTGAAGAAGGGCGTGTTTCGTTTCGCTCCCGTATGTGTCTCATGAAGCGACTGACTATTGAGCGCACTGGCTTCGTTGGACTGGTGGTGCGGGTGCGGGCTATGATATTCGATATAGCTGATGTTGTCCATGGTAGTTATTCCATAAGCCGTAGCTCCATTGTGCTTGAAATAACCCAATTTGAAGTTCCGGTCTCCTAGCATCCTCCTATTCTCTCGATCCTTCGGGCCGGCAGCAGCAGCGCCGAGGATAAGATCTCGGAGATCTTGGTTCAGAGATAGTGATGCAAGAGTGCAAATACTCCAAGGATTTGCATAGACACCCAATCTCCATCTCCCCAGTAACACAAGTAGTAAGCCCGCACTCACGAGCATGACTGACAGAAGCCCTAACGAAGCATTTGCAGCAGGTACGGAAGCACTGAGGACATAGGCGCAGACTCTTCCCGTGCTTCCACCCTTCTTACAGTCCAGACCCCTCAGATCAAGTCCGATAGCTTCGGACGAGAGCGGGACGAGCACTGCGGATAAGAGCAATAGAGTGCTTGTGAGAAAAACGACTGCTTGTCCGCCTAGCAGTGACCTGAAACTCACGATGAACGAGTTCAGGCCGCCGGTCTCAAGACAAAGTGACTCGCGGCCAGAAGCCCCGCGCTCATGCATCAGGGCGTGCCAAGGCTGGAATATCTTTGCATTTGCGTCGACAATCCGTACAAGAATAGCTAGAATACTGGCTACGAGTGTCGGCAGAAACATGCCCGCGAAGTACTGCCCCTCGGAGATATGGTATACCACGACGCGTGTACCGCCTGAATTGGAACCTGAGGACGGGCCTGGATAGCTTGCGAGAGTGGCTGTGGGATGGCCCGAGCTGTCCGTTACTGTTATGAGAGATGGCGTGATAAGGATTGTCGAGGTCGATGTTGATGTCGGTCTGCCCGCCGAATCCGTCAGGGTAGTAAGGCTTAATGATGATATGGCACTGGGTGTTAATGTTGAAGTTGTCAGCACGAAGCCTTGAGCGTCCGTTACCGTCGTTAAGCCAAGGGTCACAGTCTTTTCCCCTATTCCGCCAAAATCTGATCTTGGGTTGGAAAAGGCGAGTGTCTCTATTGTCGATGACGTTGCTGTAGGTATTCCTTGTGCATCTGTCAATATCTCCGTTTCAATGATGATGGTAGGTGTCGAGTTTGGGCTGCTCGTCGGCTCGGACATGCTATTGGTGACTGTCTTGGATCCAACATCGCCGAACTGGGAAGTGGCTTGGGTAAGTGTAGCGATACTAACGGAAGAATCCGAAATAGTGACTGTCTGGTCACCAGCTCCCCCAAAGTCAGTTGAAGCTTTCGAGGAAGCAATGATTATGCTAGAGCTGGAGCCTAGGTCCGCTTCGCTGGTGGTTGGCATTGATTCGGTGACGGATTGCTCTCCCACATTCCCAAAGTCGCTTCTAGGTCGAGATGAGTACGAGATGATTTCTGTGACGGTTTGGGACCCAATGTTGTCGAAATCGGATCCGGCTTTCGTAATAGTTCTGGTTTGCGTGATAACTGGAGTGGTAGCGGGCGAGTCGGACATTGTTACAGTCTGGTCGCCAATACTACCAAAGCTACTGTGTGGTGCGATGATGAAACTCGTATACGAAGAAGTCTTTTGGCTCACCATACTGTCAGGGTTGGAGGTATCCTTCGGAGGTATTGTTACTGAGCTATCTTCAGTCGTTGATTCATCTCCTACTTCCCTCCTCGCCGCCATCGCTGGATCGATGGTTACAACTGTATCAGGGATCATCAGTCTCATATTGGAGCTCCATGGCCTCGTGACATACTGATGGTTTCCTGCACGTAGAGGACACGATTTGGTATTTGTACAGGCGTATCAAATCTTCTGGCTTCTATCGCATGGGCAGATGCAGCATCTGTCTTAGAACCCATCACTGGCAGAGTAGCAACGGCATAGGCAAGAGATCCTAGAGTAGCTAAGAAGGCTAACGTAAGAGCTGTCAAATAAGGCCATCTTAATGCTGTGGGCTTGTACTCTGCTTTTCCGGCTTCGAATAATATGTCGTCGAAGTCTTGAGCATCCCAAGTTGCGGAGTACTCTATCGTGTCTTTTGTGTAACTTTTCTCGGTGCTTGGACGGTTCAAACGGCCATAACCGGGGGACTGCCAGACCTGTGATGGAGCTTGAACGCCATGGTCATCGTGTCGCGCGTTCATGGAGCTATTATCCGTTCCTTGATTGCCATCAAAAGCGTAGCCTCTCAATTCGCTATAGCTCACGAAAGGTCGACTCATGGCGCTGTGACGACTATAGATCCCGACTTAAGGCGTCGGGCCTGGGACAGCTGGACGTCATATAGTTAAGTTCAATGATACGAACTGCAAACAACGAAGGAGACAGACATAAGATTTTGCCTTCTCACATCCGATCTTGTACATATTTCAGTATTGGGGGCCTTAACAACCACCGGGATGAGCCGCAAGATCTTCTGCCCTGTTGCCTACCTACCAACCTCCCCAGCAAGCTGAGTCCCTGGTTTCGACCTGCCGTCGTCCGGCACTCAGCTTTTTGCTCATAAGAGTGGAACTGAGGCTGAGTCATGCCTGTCGTCGCCAAGAGGAGTTGGCCAATCTAGAGCAGTGCCGGAAAGACCTGCATCAAGATCTATTTATGTCATTTAATCGCGTATATGGAAAGAGCCCGCGGCAGTAATTTTTCCAGGGGTCAACTGAGTCAGTACCTATAAGACCCCTTGACTTGAATGACCGCTGAAAAAGATTACCTCTGACTTAGTTGACCCCTGGAAAAATTACTGCCGCGGGCTCTTTTCATGTACGCGATAGTCTTTGGGATTCACTGGATTGGGCGAACGAGAGACTGGCGCAGCTGGGGTGACATCGTGCCGCTTACGTGCCAAGGCCGTTGTCTTGGGTTGCAGCTCTCGCGAGTGGCCAGATGGTACAGATTTATGGAGATAGAGAGAATCCTCATATATGCAGATCCATGCCATGCAACGTTGGCTGCTGACGGCCATGTGTCGATGTAGGACTCTTTCACTTGGCGGGGATACCGATCACGAGTGATGAGACAATCCATGAAGACACATAGACCTCTGATAGACGTTGGGTATATGATGAAATGCTTTAGAAGTACGAGGATCCAAGGTGGTGTTCGAAGTTTCGTCCCTTTGCCGGGGTTGGGTCTACTGTAGACTTGCCAGGCGGCCAGACATCAAAATGTAAATGGTGACGGAGAGCCAAGAGAGTGTGCGCTTTGGACAAGGGGTCTCCCAAAATCGTGAACCCGTCGGCATTGCAACGCCAACTCCGGGTGATCGGGTTCCACCAGGCTGGTCCTGGCCTAACCTTACCTCTTGAGCTGGCCTGGGTTTTCTAATTCTCAGGAAGGTGTTCTGATACTCATAGAATGCTCTTAACCGAAGACGCCAACTCGTTCAGGTTCTATGCCGATACTATCAATCCACAAGCGCAGATCTCTCTTCGTATTTACTGCTGCAGGGAAAGTATTCCTTGCTATATCACAGAAGTTTGGTAGCTTGAGGCAAGGATATCATTGCATAAGGACTACATTTGGTATTCCCTGTTCACTTCACTTGCATTCCCTAGTACCTTGCATTCCACGTTTTATCCCAGGCCATTTTCACACCTTGGTAACGTGATCAAGTGACGGCACAACCTAGAACTTTGACGGTGAGTTGGCGTTGAGCCATACTAAGCATGTAAGTCCTATGGGGAAACGGAAGTGAATCCCGGTAAATGGAAACAATCGGAATCCCAAAGCAAGCACAAAAGGAATCGTACAAAGTCTCAGCAGGGCGGGCGACCACTAAAAGTGAATGTGACTATGGACGGTTGTAGCGCGGCGATGCCTATTGGTGTTTCTGTTCGGGCATACACGGGCTCTAAGTAATGGGCAAAGCAAGGCGAGAAACAGCAGAAGACACGCCGATTTGATGTTGCAGTAACAGTATTGGAAAGAAGCCTACCAAAGCCCTTAAATCCTAGCACGCGTTATCGTGCTATTCTTTTACACGTATATAATGCGCGAAGCTCATCCTTCTTCCATCAATATCACTCCAAGCTGGTGATTACATGGTCAGAAAATAGCTACTAATGAACACGACTACGAGAATTGAAGAAAAGGAGCCCAGAAACATTTCGATCTTGGCCCTGGCGATTCTATTACACATCCTTCCGAACTTCATCGTTTCAATTTCCGCAACAAGTAATTATTATAGGAAGATATCAAGGCCGTTGGCGTCTTGAGACTACTTTATTGTTCACTTATTCTTGATCTCAATGCTGCAGCTTCATCAAGCCATTGATTCCATACTGCACTAGCCAGACCACCCATCCAGCTTTCCCGATTTGTGAAAAGCAGTCTCTCCCCATAATAAACTTGCATACTGAGAGGCGACCCGGACGTAGTCTAATTACCAGGATCTGACCCGTCCCCTTTGAATAAAAGTACCATAATAGGCTGCCCTCAATGCTTTCAACTGCAGTCATAAAGTATTTAACGGCTTCGCTCTCAGGTTCGAGATAGGTATACCTTGTGCTTTGCTAGGAAATAAGACCCTTACGCAGGAACGATGCAAATTCAAGTATCGCTGATGTGAAGCTCTTTCTAATAAAACACATTTCATAAGAAAAGAAAGAAATAAAGAGATCACGAATCTAGTAACACACAAGAACAACAGGAGCTCAAGCACAATGCCAATTAAACGAGGTTGGGTGAAACAGAAAGTTCAAAAAAAAAAAAAAAAAGCGTGAAAAAGGGCTACGCTGTGCGGGATTCGCACCCGCGTCTCTTGCTTATGAGGCAAGTATGCTAACTTCTGCACTAACAGCGCTGAATATCCAATCATCTTACCAGCGACATTGTTCTTTGTGTTTATGAGCTGCGCGTGGGACCGCAAGCTTCCAAATGTGTCCAGATAGATAAGCGTGCTTGCCTGCCCGGCAACCCACCGGGTGTTTGGAATTCAAACAAAGCAAAGAGGGAAGGAACATGAAGAGATGTTGGCTCGGATCTCCAAGATTCCTGTGTTTGGTTTTGAGGACGCTGGGCCTGACTGTGGTTCATTTCTTTCCTATGTAAGACTGTATAGGTATACATAATCTTATGCACCAGGCAGTAAAATACATAAAGTCAGGGTATCAATAAATATTGTACGGGCCAGAACCTGGCCATGCTTATAATCTACAGTAGAGTTTTTTCCACGCTGATCTTGGCCGGCTCAAGGTGCTATATCGCGGATCATATCTTCGTGCCCTGATCTGCTTCGCAGCCTAAGACTACTCCAATGGTAATATATCATTATAGTGGCGTTTTCTTGAAAGCTTGATTCTTTAACACATTGCTTCTGATCGCTTTGTACACGAGTCGTATCTCACAAGACGCGAATAGTGTATACTTCGAATCTCATCGCTTAGGCTTGAAGACGTTCCTCATATTTGAAGATCGCAATAGGCTTTTCGCCTCTGTGATTTGTAGAGCCTTTCAAGCAATACTATTAGTTGGAACGCGATCGTTTGCCACATTGCAGCGACTGACGGGACCTATGGCTTTGGCTCTAGACGACCCTTGCAATTCTCTCGTCAGCGGTGCGATAGGTTGCGGATTATGCCAAGGTTCATCGGGTGAAGACTTTGACGAGTCCGTCGCCGCCCGCACTCACGACCCATCGGCCGTCTTGGCTCCAGACTACAGAGCATACGCCCTCGCCTCTCATAGTGCGGTGATTTGTTATCTCTTGGGTGCAAGTTCTCTTTTCCAAGGACCAGAAACGAAGGCTCGCATCATGGCCAGCAGAGACGAGCTCTCGACCGTCTGGACTCAGCGATAGACTAGAAATCGCAGCAGGGTGCGCCAGCATGTTGTATGTACATTGTCCTAGGAGATGTTAGTGCAAAGATACTCTACAGCTATGACAGAAATGTACATACCACTATTGGCATCGAAGAACCTGATGAAACGGTCTTCATGCCCTGAAATAATGACACCTTCAACACCGCTGCCAGATGAGCCGCTGGAACCGGTTGGGCCACTGGTATCGTCATCGCCCAATCCCGTGACTGAGCTCTGTTCGAGGCCAGCTGTGGTGGCAACAACGGCATTGACTGCCGTGGCCATAGTGTTGTCGTAGGTCTCCAGGCTGGCCATGGATCCAACCTCCTCACCCGTTCTCGTGTCGTAGACAATGATGGAAGCGTCGGAGAAACTAACAACGAAAGCATCTCCCGTGGCTGACAGAGGAGTGATACACGTTGGAGATGCTTTTGAGCCATTCGATCGGCGAATGTCATGTATCAGTGTGGAGTGAAACGGAGAGTTAGTAGCCATGCTAGGCTGTGGCGAGCTTGGGAATTGTGAACCAGAACTCATCGAGTTACCTCTCACTCGGCCGCCGCCCGTAGCACGCCGTCCCGTCGATGCTGGTTGCGGTGGTGTCAACTGAGGAGGAGCGCTCACCGCCCAGATTTTGACTGCGCCATCCGCGCCGCCCGATGCTACGAGGATTCGATCCGGAGGCCCATACTGGTTTGATTGTCCGAATACAGAGCCTAATGTAGCAGGCAATACGCAGATGGCCCAGACAGCATCGGTGTGGCCATCCAAAGTTGCTTTAGGGTCCACCCTGCCGCGTTCCCACACCCGAATGGTGGCATCTTGCCCTCCTGAGAATATCCATCCATCACCCTGAGCTCTGCCACCGGTTGAGAAATTAGGAGCCGGGGACCAAGACGTAAGACACAAAACAGCGCTTGCATGCCCACGATGCGTGAAATCAGCTGATACGTCAAGGTCATTAGGCTGGCTGCCGAGATGGCTAGGGGTTTCCCGGGGTAGATGGAATCTTTTAATTAGGCCATCGTCACCAGCAGTACAAATCTCGGGCTCACCTGGGCTTCCACCGCCCGAGAAGATGACCGTACGGACCGAGTTGAGGTGCCCACGAAGCCCATAGCGAAGTTTGAAGGTATTGTCCATCTTCTGCGACGTTGAGTTCATGGACAGCTCAGGTTCGGCACTTCTCCGGCGTGACATGGATGTTCTCCTGCGATGCGAGGTTGAGCCCCGGCCTGGTGACTTTGGTAGATTCTCAGCAGAAGGGAAAACATCGGTATCAGGCCGCTGTGTCGATGGCTGTAGGGGTTGCGAAGGCGTAGGATCCGGAAACGCAGCGTCATTGAAATCCCACCCTTCAGAATCGGTACTTCGCTTGTCGGCAGAGCTCTCAGCACTCTCAGCTTTGGAAAAAGGAGTCACTTGAGGAACTTTGGGAAGCTGCTCATCTTGAGATCGGCTGGGAGGTGGATTGCCGGCTGCCTGTTGCCACTCATTTGCCTGCGAGTACATACCGGCAGAGTTCTCGCTCGACCGAATCATAGGGGCCGATTGGAGCTCATTGGCCTTTCCCAACTGTTGCAGAGACGGTGCGTTGTGGTTAGCATTCGCAGGCAGGCGAGAAGGGGGTTCTTTGGCATGGTTCGGATTCAGCCTGAGGGCTTGAAATGCCGAATCCAGAGGTTGTTGCCCCAAGGGCACAGCAAAATCGCCCTCGCGCAAGTCCTCCATCATCGGTAGCGGGGGAGACTCGCGAGGTGGTAAGGGATTTGCAGGTGTTATCAGCAGGTAGGAGAATTCGGCCTGGCACTGATCCAGGAAATTCCTCAGCTCATCCCGATCGCGTTCTTCATCACCCTGGAGACCCTGAAGTCCTTCCGGGCCAGAAACACCATCCTTGGATTTTTCCGTGGCTGCTATACCCAGTCAGTACTGTTTCCAGTCGAGTAGGGTGGGCTCGTTCCACTGACATTTTAGTTTCTCTTGAATCAAGGCAGCCCTATCTAGCTTGGGAGGCTTCTTAACGGAATGATCGTTCTCAGCAGTGCTTTCATCATGGCTGGCAGGCTGATCTTTGATCTTCCCCTCCAAAATTGTGACATATCGCTTCAGAGCCTTTTGGGTCGAGTCGGCGCGTCTGGCAGCTCCTTCGAGGGCAGCTATCCTAGCTTTCATCTCCTGACGTTCGATCTCCCACGAATTCCGGTCTCGCTCGTGACGATGCCATTCAGTTTGCAGAAATCGCATGACACCTATACATGTGTTAGACAACTCCGCTAAAGTCACTCGACAACCTTTGTCCTTATAGGTAACTTGCCTTGCAGCGTGTACTCGGTGGCATGGGGTACGTGAGGTTGGTGCATGGAAGGACCTCCGGACAGATCCTGGCCGATGCCTGGGCCGATGCCGTTAGCACCTGGCCCCATATTGGTAACTTGCTGCCAGCTCATGGTGACAAAGTTGTATGTTAAGACTCTCTGCGGCGGAAAGGGGACGGTCTTAGGCCTCACAGCCGTCTACACCGTTGAGTACTGGCAGGGTCGGTCAAAATCGACATGCGCACGATTTGGCGACACGAGACAAGCAGACAGATGCTTTCGGAGTAGATCAGAATCGCGTGGAGTCGCTTGGCCAAAAACCCTGGCGAGAGTGACGAAAGGGGCTCGTGGAGCACGTCGGTCGAGATTTGGCTGGGGTTTGGAGAAGACGCGGGAGAGCGGAATGCGCAACAGCAGTCGAAATCGCAAAAAATGCAAAATGAGAGACAACTGTATCGACGTCGAGTTCTGCTGGTGATGATAGGGAGTGACGTGGGTGGTATCGAGGCTATGTCGCTGCCCGCGTCGACGTCAACGCGGCGTAGAAATTATTGTGACGGGAGCAGAGGTGCAGTGTCTGGTGAGCTTCGTTGATGGCGTTTCTCGGTCTTATCTCGTGATGTCGTCGCTGTTGTTGGTGGCGGCGGGCAAAACAGGCGAAAATGCTTGCACAAGAGAATACTACAAAAAAGCGAAGCAGAGATGTTGTACAGTCCTACAGCAGATGCCAGTCGTCTTTGCCGATGCAGACGCAGCTAACTGTACCTTTTAGTCGACGAGAGGATACGTGTGTGATGGGTCGCCGCAAGGCCCTCGCCCAGCACCAGCCCAACGAGCAAGCACCTGCGACTGCACACCTACCTAGGTACCTAGGTAGGTACCTCCTGCCGCTGCTACAGTAGTCGTGGCGCATGAGCTGCACCCGCAACACTCGCAAAGCTCTGCTAGTGACGAATCTCCACTTCTCGGGCAAGGTTCACAGCTCTTCTCCAATCACCAGCTCGCTTTGTCGCCGCTGGCGACTCTCAAAAAAGCTGTCTAAGCCCAGAATGGCCTAGACTCAGTACCTCGTAGTACCCCCTGATCTGCGCATCGGCCACATGCAACTCGGTTCTATACCTGTAAAGTACATAACCCTCTAGTATGATATTTTCTGCATTCTTATAATCCCGCTCTCTTATGTGACATTGAAACTGACAGGAGGGCACATAGCACTGGTTGCATTGCTTTCTAAGTTGTTAGTCCAACTGTGATAAAGAATACATATAATGCCTCCAAGGCAAACAGATAGAATCCAATTTAATCATCAGTACTTGAAGGAAATCTTACGGGTCATTAGATGTTCCCTGCAAACACAAAGTCTGCCTTCAATGTTGTAGAAACTCCTTACAGATAAGATACATCCTTAGATAACCCGCAGTGAACCTCGGCTGTGTTCAAATCGGTGTCCATCTCACCTTGTTACTTCGGCTCAGATCTATGTCTTCAAGTCTCGCATACTCCTCTCTCAGCCAGTTTCTGACATCATTGTAGACTTATCTTATATTTCGATTGCCTATATCAGGTGCCTTGTTGGTTGCAGCCTCAGATTCTAACATTCTCACTGCTTCCACCCATCTCATATTTCCTCTCAATTGAAGGTCCGACAAGCCGTCGCTTACCAACCAGCACACCAGACATGGTG